GTAAACTTTAAATTAGGTTGGTAGTACGTTTTCGTTAGTAGTACTACCTAACTACATAGGGTGGTTAGTACGGTAGGTCGTCACTAGAATAGATTACTTCTCTCTCTCTCTCTCTCTCTCTCTCTCTCTCTTTATATATATATAAAAGGTTTCGGGTTCATCAAATCTCTACTTCTATCAAATTCTTAATTTGTTTAAGAGAAAAATCAGGTTTGTCATGTTCTTTTTCCATCTTGGTTGTTTGGTCTATACTGTACTAATAAGCCAATTTCTAATGAATAAAAAAACTCAAATTAAGGTTGCCATTGTTTATCTTTTCGGGAAATTGAGGCCACATTCTATTTCGGTTTTAAAAAAAGGAAAGAATATGAGATCTACCGTCATTTCTCCTTTCACTATATTATGATTCTTCTTTTCTTTTTCTTTTTTTTTTTTGTTTTTTGTTTTCAGAAGATATTCTACTCCCTCGGAAGTATATTGTTCATTGACTCTCGCGGATAAAACCCATTTAGAATTAATTTTAGGACCTCAAAATTAGGGCATATAACATCTTTAATACATATATTAATCTTAATAAAAAATAATTTCCTAATTGCACTATCTAAGAACTTAAAAAAAAATAATGTCTCAAGATTGAATAGAAACCGTTCAATTTTTAGAGGGTACGATTTAAGTGTTAAAAAACTCAAATTTTGTTGCGTTTGAGAATAATCATCTAGTGATTCTTAGATGATTTCCAAAATTTCAAATTGAAAAAATCCTTCCAACTAGGTCATCTATCAAAGGGAGTAGAAATAAACTATGACTTAAAGGAGCATAGTTTTTGTTTTTAATATTTTTCTCGATTCCCCCCTCTTTCTCTCTCACTCTCTCTCTGAGATTCACACACACTTTAGGTTCATTAGGGTATCGAAGGGGTTTCCAAAATGTTCATTAGGCAAAGCTAGACTCTCTCTCATCTCCAGTGCATCAAGTGAATAGACGGGAGTCCATCGGTGCATGATGCAAAGGGGTGGAAAATAACCATCGGGCTTTATGATAAAGTCTCTAACACCATCCTCATCATCAAAAGAGTTAGGCCCAAATCTCTAATAACTTACCCTTCAACTTAAAAAAATTAAAAAATAAAAAATAAAGTGAAGAGATGGCTGATACGTCGCTAACCTCCCAAGTATAGAAGCCAAGGCACGCAAGTGCTGCTGCACTTCTATTACCTGCGGATATCTTTCCATGAACACTATTTGCACTTTTGCCTCCTTCACTGACGAGCCCTACATACATGCACAATACCACCGCCAATTAGGTACAACCATCGATGTGAAATCTAATAGATTAGGTGTGTCATAAAATTCGAAAAAAAAAAAATTGAAGTTTGAGCTTGGTCAATAGAATAAATGCCGTAATTTATTTTCACATCCAATGATTAAGATTAATTGTGACTGCGTTATATTAAAGATGAATACTTTTCCATATATATATATATATATAAGAGGTTTGATCATGGACATACCTGAGAGGGTGCTACTATCACAATGACAATGAACAAAGAAAATGATAAAAGCAAGGTGGTGGTGTTGTAAGCCATTCTTTCTTTGAGAGAGAGGGGAGAGAAGGAAAGTAGTAGTTGTAATTTGATGTTCGCCAACCTTAGCTTGGATTTATAGGGGAGGGGAGGGGAGGGGAGGGGAGGGAAGGGAAGAGGGAGACAGATAGAGATAGAGATAGAGATTAGTACAGGGAACCTTTTGAAGTGGCACCCACTACTAATATGGTATGCTGATTTTTGATAAATATATATAAAATAATAACTGAAAGCAGTCACTTGTGTGAGCCTCACATTTATCCTGCTCTGCTGCTATCTTTCAAGGGCATGTTTTTGCTATCCAAAAAGTATAGACAGTATAGGCTGCTCTTAAAGCCATTTATAAAACTCAAAGGGGGGAGGAGGAGTGGAATCTTGTGATTGTGCAAATGGGCCGGGTCTCGGCCACACCAGCCGTGGCCCTTGGTCCTGACCCGGCCCTCATCCTATGGGGCTGCCCCAAAGCCGCCAATGAAAATAGGGCCAAGCAGGGCGAAACCAGGCTGCTGTTGACCCTAGCCTGGTCCTTGGACCACTGTTTGTAGCCCAGGCACTACTTTTTTAGGGCCGGAGGCCGTACAGGCTTTGGCCGACTGGGCGGGGCTGGGCTGCCCTGCCCATTACCAGTCCTAAAATGTTGTTGCCAACAAAAATATTGACATGAGTGGGATAAGCATTACTAAAGCACTAGCATGGCGTGGTAAGTGTAGGGTCCAATGTGTGTAGGGTCCAATGTGTGTAGGTAATTTCAACTTTGCTTGATGACTAGGATAAATAAAGTGGTATATTTATATAAGAGCACCATGAGAAGAGGGCCTTTTCTTCGAAAGGTCTATGCGATATAAAGACAATTTCTTATTGGTCCTGTCCCACCCAATGTTTATGTTAGAAATGGAATCCGGATCTGAAACTTCAGGGTTCAGATAATCCCCACACTGGCCATTATGAATTTGATAAAATAAATAAACATCGAAACTTAAAATAGTATTTTTTGAAGATATTTTAAATTATTCATTTTACCTTTTGGGATCATCATATACCATTTTTGAACTGTAAAGGAAATAGGTCTATGCATTTTTCAATAATAATTTATTATGTGATTTGTTTCCTAAATCCATAAAAAACATGGGCGGAGTCATAATTCTAAAGACTTAATTAGGTTTTATCCATTTCTTATGGGGAACATGTTAACACCTCTTGAATTTTAGTTGAGGGAATTTCTAGAAACATGTAATCCTCGACTATAGGGACCGTACTAGACTAGTAAAACTTAGTGCAGCATACTCCTTGTCCATGATTCCTAGGAAAACCACTAAACCAATCTAAATCTAGTCAGAAGAACCTAAATCTCATTAAATCCCATTAAAGATATCCTGATTGATCTAGACTTATCCAAAACAATATAGAAAGTTAGAAAATTTGAACATTGAGCCCCAAATCAAGTTTAAATTCAACGGTGTAAAAAGAAAGTATATATTGTTTATCAGGTTAATATATAAGGTATACATTGTAATCAGAATATATGAGAATGATAGGTAGAATATCTTGTATTTTATGGTCAATCTGGGTATAGTATAGATGTGTGATTTATTTTTGTTATTGTCATATGTATTTGTCTATTTAAGACAAAGTTGTATATTCATATTGATTAATGGATACTGAAACTCTCTTGAAAAATTTGAGACTCTTCACATGGCATCACAATCAGATTTATCTTTGTTGTTTTCATTCATGTGAGATCAAGTCTGTTATTTTGTTACTCGATCTTCTTCTTTTAGGTGTGATCGAGTATGTTGTTATGTTACTCGATCATGTATGTCTGTCTGCGAGCTACTGAATCGATTACGGATGTGCACATAGTTCTGTTGGCTCTTCCAAGTGCCATTGTGTTTTCTTGGCTGACTCGGTTGTTTTTTTGTCTCTAGAGAAAATTTGAAGTTTTTGTCTGTTGCTCAAGCCTACTCTATTCAAGCCTTCTATTTTTTAGGGTTGTTGATCTGTCATTGCTTGAGTCTGCCCCTATTTTGTTGTTCTTATTTGCTTGTTAATCAAGCAATTTGAGCATGGCAACCATTGCTTTTACTGGTCATGCTATGCGCCTAAAGATTCAACTGCTCACTTTTGCAACTTAGGGTTCAAACTCCAACTGCTCTTTCATAGCATTTAAGTTTGAGAGGGAGTATGAAAAGAACATATATATTGTCTACCAGGTTAATATAGAAAGTGTATGTTGTAATCAGTATATATGAGAATGATAGGTAGAATATCTTGTATTTTATGGTAAGTCTGTGTATAGTATATGTGTATGATTTATTTATATTATTGTCATCTGTATTTGCCTATTTAAGACAAACTTGTATATTCATATTGATTAATGGATACTGAGTCTCCTCTAAAAAACTTGAGACTCTTCACGAGCTGGACTGCCACCACTGAATACAGTGGGAGATCCTGACCAATCTAGAGGAGAGTTTGGGACTAGCAGTATGCGTTGCTGCCTCTATATTCTTCCAAAAGGTTTTAGAAATTCTCTGGAGTTTGAGTCATTGTTGTGGTCAAAGATCCAAGTCATTCTGGATCAACTTGAGCAAAATTTTGACCGAGTTTTAACTAGAAATCCTAATCCTAAACTAGTTGTAAGTCTTAATCCTAATTAGATTAGAGCCTAATTAGAAGCCTATGTAAACCCGCGTCTACTGTCTTTTAGAACTCGGATCTTTAAGCCTAAGAGACCTTTAAAGATAAAATCGACGAGAAATTCCTTAGAAATTAGATAGAAAATCCCTTATACTAAAGAAACCATAGAGCTAGGAAATGGTAGAAAACCCTAGGAGAGTCAACCCTAAGCCAAATCCTAACTTAAAAATCCTAATCCATAAGCCTTAGAAAGGCAATATCCTAAGCATAATGTTGAACAAATATTCTGGAATTCAAAAACCATTGCTCTTAACTACCAGGGGATTTTCTATTCACTTTTAACATCATTTAATTGCATCTATGGAACTCCCTACAACTAGCACCATATTACAACTAAAATCTTCTTCTGTTATTCTTAATACCAGTAGAATAGACATCACCTCCACCTCATTCGCCATTGCTACACCACATGGCCCTGAAAATCTAACCACCATATTTCCAATATGGTCTCAAATCAAACCACAAAAGCCAGCATTTTTGTGGTCTCCCAAAGAATTTCCATCGAAATTTAATTTTGTCAAACCATGAGGAGTCCTTGAGATTGCAAATTATATCTGATTCAAGATTCCCACGTCACAACTTCTTGACAGGCACCCATTACTAAACCTTATGTAGAATCCTTTAAACCACCTTCAAATGCCCTTTTGTTCATCTCTTTCTAGATCTCTCATAGAATCGTTCCCGAAAAGATTTCTAAATTATTTTTCCCATTGTTTATTAAAAAGGTAAGTCAAGATATTGTGAAATCCCAGCAAATTTTAAGGAAAATCCCAGCAAATTAAAGCCCACGTCCAAATTCCCAAATTTTGTAGGTAAATGAGCAGTCGAGGAATAAATGCTAGCCCATTTCTTTATAACCTTCACAAAGAATGCATATATTAACAATGGGTGCCGTTTGTATAGATCCTAGGCTCTAAACAATCAAATTAGAGCCTATCTTCAAATAATGTCGAGAAATGTGGTTTCAATGATAGCTTTAAAATATATTTTCATATTTATTTGTAAAGTTTAGAGCTTAAAAATAACGTAGATCAGATCTATGAAAATTTGAAAATATTGAAAATTGACGATTCAATCCAAAAATACATTACAAAATACACTATTTTCAAAACTTGAAGTCCATATTTTTCTAATGTCCAGGCATCTTGATGCTTAGATGATCAATTTGAAGATATTTAAGCATCAAAACAACCTCTTCTAGCAAAATTTTTGAGGTAGGCTCAAATTTGATTGTTTAGAGCCTTGATTCTATATAAACTTTTCCCATTAACAATTAGGTTCCCCTTTTTACTCAATAAATCTACCTAAGTGCCACAGGAAACTGGCTTCAGGAAGTTCTTGGTTTTCAAAAAATGAGAACTTGCAGCTTTCATCTGCCGTGAAGTTCGCTTATCCTATTTTTTTAAGTTCCATACTTGATTTCTTTTTTTTGTTTTATGTATCCACTCTCTCCATCTCTCTCTCTCACTCTCTCCTATATTTTTTTGAGTAGTAATCAGTAACTATCCCTTCTCTCTCTCTAACTCTCTTTAAGTTTTTTCTCTCTAACCATGTCCTTCTTTCTAAATCCTCTCCAACAATACTAATCTTCTTTTTCTTTTTTCTTTTTTTGAGAAACAGTAACAATTTTATTTCTTCCTGTAGATCACTTTACATCAAAGGCTCATACAAACAACCAGAAATTAAAAAATTACAAAAAATTCCCGCAAAACAAATTACACGTGAGGCTACACAACTGCTCAACTATCAACAATTACTCCTGATTTAGCTAATCCATTCGCCTCCATATTACACTCTCTATATATCCATCTGCCTCCATATTACACTCTCTATATACATGACCGAAGGAACACTCTACCTCCTACCTTGTCTCTAACTCGTTTCTTTCTTTAAATGTGACATGTCTCTCTAATGACTTTCTCTCTCTAACTCCTCCCTTTCTAACCGTGTTTGAGAGGATGATCAGCCACACTGGGATTGAGACACAGCCCAGACTCTTACGGGAGGCAGCAGTAGGGAATTTTACACAATAGGCGAAAGCCCGACGAAGCAATGCCACGTGGAGGTAGAAGGCCCATGGATCGTGAACTTCTTTTTTCGGAAAAAAAACAATAACGGTATCCGAAAAATAAGCCGGTTATCTCTCTCTAACTCTCTCATGCCATACTCTCTCTCTTTCTAACCACGTTTCTCTCCGATTTTTCAACATGTAACCAATACATGTAACCAATATAGATAAACATAATATGCATAGTATCCTATATCTCTATTTTTTATTCATCTGTGGCCAAATTCATATAAGCATTACTCTCTCTCTTCACACGTACACATAGACACATAAACTCACACACACATGCACACATGCCTTCACCTACTTC